CGTTGTCGTCTTCAGCGCCGCCATATTCAAAGTTAATTAAATGATTGTCTAAATTTGCAAATGATTTGATAACTTGAGTTGAGGGAATACTTCCGAGACCTTTAAAGAAAATTATAATTTAAAACGGTTAATAATATGTCATTTTTTAAAGTTACCTCTGAAGTATTTAACTGTGAAATCATTTAAATTGCTTGTGCGCTGCCTCCAGTCTTCAAAATGATTTAAAAAGTAAAACGAAAAAACTTCTTCTTTTGCATATTTGTTGTAAACATTTACAATTGGGAACTTCATTTTTGAGAACATGTTCTTGCGTTTTAGTAAAGCAGGCCAGTACTTGTGAAAAAAGGTTAAAATCATGCCAGCGATAAAAGTTCCGTTTACATCAGGATCTGCCATAATTAGGACTTTTCCGTAACGCAATTTTTCTTGTTCACTTTTTNCAGTGTACTTCTTGTTAAAGTCCAGTCCTAGGCTGCTGACAATCAATTTAATCCACTTGTTGCTCTTTACTTTTGCATCAGTTGAATCCTTTGCGTTTATCAGTTTTCCTTGTAGTGAAAGAATTCCAACAAAACTTTTCTCAAGCACAAATAAACCAGATTTGACTGCTTTCATAGCTGAAGGCCCTTCTACTATTATCAAAGTTGTTTGCTTAGCTTGAGCTGTTCCAGCAAATTCAGCGTCAACTAAGTTGCTTGAAAGTGCGTCGGTTTGCTATTTAAATTATGAACCAAAGTTTTAAATAATGAATTGTAAAAGAGTAAATTAAAGTACCTTATCACCGGTCGAGAGGTGTTTATCGACATTTTCCTCATCAGAATCAGACTCGTTTAAACTCATATCATCATCCTCATCTTCTTCAGCACTTTGGTAAACGTCATCATTTTCGCTTTTTTCTTCATCCTCTGCCAGAAAGTCATCATCGTCATCATCTTCAGAGACAGTGTCATCATTCTTTGCATCAGCTGGCGAATCGCTTTTCTTTTCAGCGTAATTGACAACTCTTTTTGAACAACGGGAATTGCGACACTTGTTTTCAAACTCAGTGACCAAGTTCATAGAATCTGTCAAGTTTTCCAAAGGTTCCCAAGTATTTTCAGAAGAGCTGTAACCTTCCCATTTTACGCGATACTTGGCGTTTCCGTTTTCGATTTGCTTGTCGACAATTTGCTCGACAGCATATTCCTTTTAAGCAAACAAAAAGGTTACAAAAAGTTAAATCAGGTCAGATTAGTGAAATTGTACAGAAAGTAAAACTTACTTCAGGTTCGTCATCCATATTTGTTCGAAAGAGAACAAAACGTCAAAAAAACCAGCAAATAAATGAACAGTGAAGGCAAAAATGAAATTCTGGTAAAAAATGAAACCAGAAAAAACGAAAATCCGCAAAGTAGAACTCCAGCGCAGGAAGAGGAGAGAAATAGAACAGCGGCGCAGAGAGAGATCGAACCGACTAACCAAATGTAAACAGCGAGAGAGAGGTGCGCGTTGAAAAGAGAGCCAATGGGAGAACCAGAAAAGGTGCTGGAACAGGCAAAGCACAGTCCAGAGTAGGCGGGGAAGGTTACGCCATTTACGAAGCGCACTAGCGAATTTAGCCTGTTGTAAAATGTGTCGTTCAAAACTCTACATAATGATAGCTCGGTTTAATTTTAACTATTTTTAGTAAATTTTATAAAAAAAATTTGTCTAATTTTTTCTAATTTTTTTCCTTATTTTTTTAGGCAGCCCATTTTCGGCAAAAATTGTTGGAGAGGGTCGAAAGCGAAACCAGCTTGCCATTGCCGGTGCCAGTGAAAAGGTACTGACAAAACTTTTTTATTATTATATCCAGAACACTAACAAAAATTATTTCAGAGCGTGCCACTGAAGATCACCGAAAAAGACGTGAAACTGCTAAACGCCAGCATCGTCGCCCCTTCAGGCCTTGAGGAGCCCTGTTTCCTGA